TGACAAGCAGGATTCTTATTTTCCCAGGATGCATTTATAGATATTGCTGAAATATGATTGTGACTGATTCAGACCCTATGGATCTTTTAACACTCGTTGAATTGTGGATTTTCATTTCAAGGCTGTTACACTGTACGTGGTTCTGGTGCCATGAGTATCTCGGAGACATTTATTTTACTTCTTTGCAAATAGGTCTGACATTTCTAGGACCTTTTAAAACCGGAAACTAGATGTTAGTGAAAAAGCATACAATACATATTTTCAGTGAAGTAAATGGTACTGTCACCCATCCTATCGTAATTACTGCCTGGAATTCTCATTCCGGATACAAGTGGGATTCCTGGAACCTCTGGAATGTCACAGTACTATATCACAATCAAGAAAAAGGACAGAGAGGGCTCTATTATAGCAATGGAGACATGTAATGTACCGTACTGTCCCCAGTAGGTACCCATCTGTTGTACAGTGTAGACTTGTTATGTACCGTGCTGTCCCCAGTAGGTACCCATCTGTTGTACAGTGTAGACTTGTTATGTACCGTGCTGTCCCCAGTAGGTACCCATCTGTTGTACAGTGTAGACTTGTTATGTACCGTGCTGTCCCCAGTGGGTACCCATCTGTTGCACAGTGTAGACTTGTTATGTACCGTACTGTCCCCAGTAGGTACCCATCTGTTGTACAATGTAGACCTGTTATGTACCGTACTGTCCCCAGTAGGTAGCCAACAGTGTCATTAAATGAGGGAGAGAAACTCTCAGAAAGAAATGGTGATTAGTTGTAAATTGTAATGGAAATAACACTTTACAGAGAGTTTTATATTGTAAATGTACCACCTGACAATCAAACCACAAAAGAGATTACATAGATATTGTTGTTGTAATAATATAATAATTGATATCAGAATTGTCCGAGCCATTTTGGGTAATCCTATCTTCACCTCTACAGAAAAAGATGTGTTGTGAAATCCAGACTGTTATAAAGCCTTTGTAACCTGTATCAGCCACCACTGTGATGTCCCTCTGGAGCAACTCAGTCCTCACACTATTAGATTAACAAACCAAATTAAGGAATAGGATTGCCAACATGTCCTTGATGATAGTCTCATTCTTTTATCAAGTAAACCTAAAGCGTCATTGTTAGCACATATCTGTCCTCTTTGATTTTATTACAAGAGAGATTTTCCGAAACTGATGTAAAATATTTGTGTCTTTTGTTCCTTTTATACCTCAGCTGTATCAGTCTCCTGTCTGTCTAAGTGGGGTGATATGTCTGTATTTATCCCTCTGTTTCTGTCCCTGTATCAGCCTCCTGTCTGTCTAAGTGGAGTGATATGTCTGTATTTATCCCTATGTTTCTGTCCCTGTATCAGTCTCCTGTTTAAGTGGAGTGATACATCTGTATTTATCCCTCTGTTTCTGTCTCTGTATCAGTCTCCTGTCTGTCTAAGTGGAGTGATATGTCTGTATTTATCCCTATGTTTCTGTCCCTGTATCAGCCTTCTGTCTGTCTAAGTGGGGTGATATGTCTGTATTTATCCCTCTGTTTCTGTCTCTGTATCAGTCTCCTGTCTGTCTAAGTGGAGTGATATGTCTGTATTTATCCCTATGTTTCTGTCCCTGTATCAGTCTTCTGTCTGTCTAAGTGGAGTGATATGTCTGTATTTATCCCTCTGTTTCTGTCCCTGTATCAGTCTCCTGTCTGTCTAAGTGGGGTGATATGTCTGTATTTATCCCTATGTTTCTGTCCCTGTATCAGCCTTCTGTCTGTCTAAGTGGGGTGATATGTCTGTATTTATCCCTCTGTTTCTGTCTCTGTATCAGTCTCCTGTCTGTCTAAGTGGAGTGATATGTCTGTATTTATCCCTATGTTTCTGTCCCTGTATCAGCCTTCTGTCTGTCTAAGTGGAGTGATATGTCTGTATTTATCCCTCTGTTTCTGTCCTTGTATCAGCCTCCTGTCTGTCTAAGTGGGGTGATATGTCTGTATTTATCCCTATGTTTCTGTCCCTGTATCAGCCTTCTGTCTGTCTAAGTGGGGTGATATGTCTGTATTTATCCCTCTGTTTCTGTCTCTGTATCAGTCTCCTGTCTGTCTAAGTGGAGTGATATGTCTGTATTTATCCCTCTGTTTCTGTCTCTGTATCAGTCTCCTGTCTAAGTGGGGTGATATGTCTGTATTTATCCCTCTGTTTCTGTCCCTGTATCAGCCTCCTGTCTGTCTAAGTGGGGTGATATGTCTGTATTTATCCCTCTGTTTCTGTCCCTGTATCAGTCTCCTGTCTGTCTAAGTGGAGTGATATGTCTGTATTTATCCCTCTGTTTCTGTCTCTGTATCTGTCTCCTGTCTGTCTAAGTGGAGTGATATGTCTGTATTTATCCCTATGTTTCTGTCTCTGTATCAGTCTCCTGTCTGTCTAAGTGGAGTGATATGTCTGTATTTATCCCTGTGTTTCTGTCCCTGTATCAGTCTCCTGTCTGTCTAAGTGGAGTGATATGTCTGTATTTATCCCTCTGTTTCTGTCTCTGTATCTGTCTCCTGTCTGTCTAAGTGGAGTGATATGTCTGTATTTATCCCTCTGTTTCTGTCCCTGTATCTGTCTCCTGTCTGTCTAAGTGGAGTGATATGTCTGTATTTATCCCTCTGTTTCTGTCTCTGTATCAGCCTCCTGTCTGTCTAAGTGGAGTGATGTGTCTGTATTTGTTCCCCTGTTTTTACCCCTATAACATCCTACTCTCTGTCAACCTGGGGTGATTTCCCCACATTTCTGTTACTGAATCACCCTCCTCTCTGTCAGACTCGGATGATATCCTTGAATTATCTACATCATAAGGTTTCAGGATAATAGGTTGTAGCCACCGTATAAAGAGGTATCAAGTCATTTGAATACAGAAGCCTTTTTCTGTTTCCTGAGTATACATATAGATTTTTGACTAAGGCTATAAGCAAGAGACATGATTTAGAGCCCATTTGAACATCATCTATGTTTATTCAAAGCCTACTTAAACCAGGAACTGAACATGGTTATACTGTTAAGTGTTGGTAATTCGTCCCTCATCGATGGAAACAACCTCTACTATCCCCTTAACAACCTTCAAACCGTGGAGTGTCAAATTGTAATTGTTGTTTAATATTTTAGAATTAGAGAATCTTCCTTAAGGCTTCTATGGATTTTCTGACTGGAACAACAGGAAACCTTTGTGTCTGGAAGCTTTATAGAAAATAATCATCTTAGTGAATAATGACTTGAGAGTTTCTTCCTTCCTCAAGCAAAAACCTAACTGTAGGACTACAAACACAAATCTCAGAGATAAAGAGACGGTTTTTAAATGTTTAACTGTATTGAGACTTAATTCTCACACCATTAATGAATTAAGTAGATACCAATTTAGAAATATGATTTTTTAGCTGGAAATCCTAATTATGGAGATTATCGAAAAAAAAAATGCCATGACAAAATTGTTTATTTAGCATGTTTTTATCACCATCTAGATTGTCCTGCATTAAAACCTGGTCAGTTATTTGACCAGTGGTAGGTCAGCTGACTTATCCTGTTCCAAGTAGGGTTTAGTTATCTTGTTATATTGTGAAGAAAGAGTTTTGTTTGGGTATAAAAGAAAACTCCTTTTAGAAAGGTTAATGGCACTGTTAATGGCCTATTTGGTTGAAGAAGATCTTGTTGAGGATGGTCTTTATGTGATGTTTAGATCAATGTACCTTTATACAATAGAATGTCCCTTGTATCTATTCTGGTGTGCAGTAGTACAGTTGGTGTTAGTAACTCCATTTCTTTGTATCTGTCGACATTGGTATCAAGTTTAAGTTTTAACGTAATTTTCTTTTGATAAAAGCTCAAGATAAAAATCTTGTTGACATTTTAAACTGCATTCATTTTATGAAAGAACATTTTCCATACAATTTTGCTCAAAAAAAATAACATAAACAAAATTCCCCTGCTATTTTGCCAAAAATAAAACTTTCCTTTCTTTTACCACTTTTTCCAGCAGAACTGGTTGGGCCCTTTTGGTCGTGTTATATGCAGTCCATCACTACAGAGATTTACCCAGTCAAGATCCTGTTAAAAACTTTGTGACATACTTTCAATATATATTTGATGTTTTAAGTATAGAATACTCTGAAACAACATTTAAGATGTCACATTGTGGTTAAAATTGAGAAACAATGAAATTTTATTGATGAAACAAGTATAACTAAGGCTGACATAATTTCTGGATGTGGAAACGTCTCATGTGACTGACTATATGTTTGGCTTACTCAAAAAGAAGCTATTGTTCATCAACACTTTATTTCTTTTAATGTTTTCTTCAGGTTGGTTGATGTCAATAGAGACGTTCTTACAACACAACTTGTAGAAGAATTGCAAACACATAATAACACAATTAAGAATTCATAAATCTACTAGTGGTGTTATACGAACTTCAATGTACATCGTCCTGAACTAACCCCTTGACTCTGTGTCAGAAGTATTGTGTTGAACTTGTAGGGTTATTACAGGATAAATCTGTATTACTATATCATTGATATAAAGGCTTTAGTGGATGCATATGGTAGTAAAGCTATTTTAACTTTGTACACCTGATCTCTTCTAAAGTTTGGAATCCCTACATAAATCTGAATGACGCATTACTCCTTCACTAATCCACTGTGAAGTCAGGTCCTGTTGTTGGAATTCATCACAAATTTGTTCACTTAGTACAAGTGAATATGTATTTGAATGTAATACACTGTTATGAATTATAGTGCTATCTCACTGAATTATCTTATAATGCATTACTTACTAGGTACACAGCAACAATATTAACACAATATATTTGTGATTGTTTCTGATCAGCTTGATGAGATAAAGTTAGTGCTGACCCGACATGATTATCTTGATGAAAAATGTTTTTAGATCATCATTTTCCCATCTAGCAAGTTAACCTGCTCAGGAAATTTGAAGATGATGTGAACTGATATTTTATATTTTGTTTCTGTATTTGCAGGCAGAGGAACTAAATACAATCATTGGTAATGCTTTCAAGATGGCTTATGCACAGCAGAGAGTGCGACAACCCACATTCAACGAGCTCATCGAGATACAACTGAACGAACAAAAAGCCAAGTTCGCAGAGTATCAGGTTCAGGCTCAGAAGGAGTTCAAACAGAAACTCACAGAGATAGCCACGCCAACGCCCTTCTCAGAGAAGGCGATACAGCGCATGGAGATGCGACGTCAATCCAGCAGTGACGATGTTCAGGAAAAAGAACGAGAACTTGCTGTGGGCAAAAATAAACTATGGGTAAGTTTCCTTGTTGCTTATATGACAGTGTTTGTGTGTGGGCTGCATTTTGCATATTTTTGTCATGAATTCTTTGGAAATGTTTTTGATATTATTCGAGAAAAATGATTTTTGAAATTTTGAGCTGTTTTTATTCAGATTTGGGTTTGAGTTATGTTTATGATTGTTGCAGGAATGAAGCCTGAATTTCAAATGAATTCCAAACTAATAGTCTGGCTATGGCTCATTGTAACATATATATCTGTGATGGCTTCTGTTGGTCAGTGTGATGGCTAATAGTAATAATGATAAGTGTAGGTAATTCTTACAAAACAAGACAATATCGAGATCTTTCTTTACTTTCATAAAGGTTGATCTTCATTTGATATTTTAATGTGAATTCCTAGTTGGAAGTTATACTCACATTTTTACATCAGAATCTGGTATCAACAAGTTACCTGTTAAAAGTAATAGTGAAATTCTCTAAAAGTCTGAAATACAAAGAATACGAAATGAAATCTTCATAATGAATAGATAATTATGGTTTAATATTGTTAAAATCCTGTGGTCATTTAGAGACAGCATGAAAAGTGAATTATTATAACTAATGGAAAGGATGTAATTATATTAAAAATATAAAGTTATCTTTGAAATATTTAAATAATATGTTCTAATTGTTTAAAAACTACCAAGAGGTAATCCTCAGACTGTGTCTGAGTTACATGGCTGACTACTGCTGGCTGATAATGACATTTCTGCTATACTAACATCTCTTTGTGTGCCAATAAAGGAAACCTACTTGTATTTGTTCTATACATCTGTGCTATTTAAGTCCATAAACATTTAGTCCCAAATTGTGGACTTGTATGTAAATCATTTTAACATTTCTAAAGGTAAAACATATTAAATGTTTTTGTGTATATAATGTTTGATGGGGTTGAGGGTGGGTGGGGGAAGGGGGGATGTTGCCATGCATGGTTTGATGCTTGATGGTTTATGTTTCACAAGAAGCTGTCTGTGCTTGCACGATTGCATTCTTGAAAATGACACTTTTATCAGAGTCATTCTTGATGGCATTAAGCATGTGATGGGCCTCCTTCATAGTGTTCCTTGGTAGCCACCCGCTATGTTTACAAGCAAGGAGACGTACCTCAAAATGACCTTGGTGAATGTTGAGGAGGCAATAGCAAAAAAAAAAAAAAAACAGAAACAACAGTGATATTTTTAGTTATCATACGTAATGTTGTCAGTGAAAGAGAAAATCCCTTAAATCATTAACTGTAACTATCATTTAGTATGTCCAGGGGACCCACGTCTTATATCTAGATAATGGGCTTATTACAGGACAATGAAATAACATTGGTTTGTATGGTGTAGATTATCACCAACCATGTGCTTAATGCTGAATAAATGATATTGTTTGTAACGACAGAAAACCTGTGCAAAACATTACTGCACCATTTATAAAATTAACTTATTTTGATACCAAAATATTTTTAGAAAGCTCCAATATTGATCCAGATATAATCATTTGATCTACATACCCTATCACACTATAGTCACATGGAGCAATTGACTCCAGGTGTTTTATAACACAAATTTTATTTTTGATGAAGTTTTTGAAAGGTGTTTGGTGATTTTGATCAGTTAAATGAAGGCTGTCTTATAATATTTTGGTAAGCTTAGGACAAATTTTCATTTGATGATGAATAGCAGGACAACAAGTGATATATTCATACCTGAGGGTAGGTTATATATCACGTTCAGGTCAGAACAACCTGAGAATGAAATCATTCCCAACTGTAGTAAAAACATCAATATTCACTCCATATGTACTCTGAGTCATACATATTGATTGTAGTCATTGTTCCCTGCATACTTATTACACAATTCAACAAAATTTCCATATTTTTACATTCAGTGTAATAGGTTTCAGGAAAGATAACTCTTTTAAGTGAGTTAAGGGAGACAACCAGGTGAAACTTGATGTGAAACTTCATGTCAAAAAAATACTTTTATTAATAAAATTTATTAATATTTCATACTAGATTTCTTATATTTTGAAATCTTGGCTATTTGAATTAAAGTGTATTTGATCAACATTCATCAGTGTCATAGTTTATAGCTGTTACTGTATCAAAGATACAACATTATTGATAAAATAGTTATAGATGACAGTTAAAATAGTTAGAGATGACAGATATATTATATCGAATGACCCACATTTTCAACAACCCAGAGTTGATGATGTAACACTGTGCAAGGTTTCACAGTCTTAGCATTTGAGAACTAGATTTTGCTATAAACTCATTACAATTGAAACTAAAATGTTTTCAAAAGGGTAGACAAAGTATCAGTGGTGTTTATAACCAGCATGAATGCCAACTTAAAGCAAAAAATATATCAACTTGTGTTACTTAAAAATTTAAGGGAATCAGCCAGTTTCTGACCGTGTTTAATGTGACTAATGAAACCCTGTATTATAAATTGTGTCATGCAACATGTGTGTGTATTTCCAGTTTTCATTACAACGTAGTCCCATAAAGGTACAGTAGGCCAGCCTGCATTTCCCTCCTCATGTAGTCATTTCTCAGTTTGTCTTGGCAAAGGAAAATGTTTTTATGTCAATGAAGCAGTACTTCCGAGTAAAAATAGACATGTGATTGAGTGAAAAAGATCAGCACATTAAGCCTGATTTTTCCACAATTTGGAAATCTGTGAAAAAAGATTTTTTTTAGATAAATGCAAATCACTTTTACCAAGTTATCCAACATATCATTATATGTAGAAAGATGTGAAAACATTTTGCCAGCTTTTGTTCTTATTTCAGATTATGAGGTGTTTGGGATATATAAAATTTAATGAATGTTTGTAACAGGGGAGTCTAATATAAGCCACAATATTGATGACTTCCTGCCTGTTTCATATATATACCTGGTCACTTTGGTTCAAATATTATAGATTTGCTGAAGTGATATTGTCTTGATCCTAGTAATTTTTTAATTTCTTTTTATACTTTTAATTTCTGCATTATACATTTTTTTTTTGCTCAATAAATATTTGATATGCTCGTTTACAAACTGATATTACCAAGGTACAGTTGAAGGGAGGCAACTCTGTTAGCCATAAGGCGGTAATGATGACATGTTTTTGTTGTCCTCCTTGGTCCTGTGTCTTCATGTAATAAAACAGTTTGAAGCATGAGAAGTAGATCAACATTTAATAGCCCAGTTTGATTTTTGAGCTTCGGTTCACATTAAGTTCTAAACTATTAAAATGTAGTAATACTTGAGTGACTTATGTGGATATTTATCACAGAGAAACAGACATGCAAAAAATATGGCCCTGAGTTTAACAAATCTTGAAATCTTAACTACCATAGGGATGCATTACAAAGTTAAGGAAAAACATAAGTTTAAAGAAATTTTCTTAGCTTCTGTAATGCGCTCCTGTGAGAAAATTATGGAAAATTCCCTAAGTTAAGGCAGATTCATGAAACTGGGGCTTGGTGGCTATATAGATTTTGGAGGTCTGATGCTCAGATCTGAGGCTTGAGTCCCAATCTGTTTTCTATCCAATCTTCTTTGATTATTAGATATGAAATGTGTATAAATTGTTTTTGACATGCATTACACTAACTAGCTCTGTTGGATGACTTTCTCTGTGTTGTAAAACCCTGTTAGTAAATACTACATCTGTTAGTGTACACAGTAAATAGTCAGATTTTCTTGCTTCGCCTATATGTCTAAATACCTAGGAACCTGACATGATTGGAATGTGAGATCCGCTGGCCCCAATGTCCCATTCGGCGTGATATGCTCCCAGTTCCTATAGAATACAACCCACGTCCTCTACCTACCCTGTTTACTGATATAAGTTGTCATTAACAGCTTTCAGATTAATTAATGTTGATGCTGTTTCATTGTTTGCCATTTTGTAATCACAGTCACGTCCAGTATCTGTTGCATGCTTCTTCTCTATCTTCTGACTGTACATATGTGTTGGTGTTCAATACCTTCTTCATATTCACTCTGTGTGTCATGACACGTTGCAAAATCCTTTTTACTTTCTGTTTGATTGCGACTGTGATAATTTTTATCACTGTTTACATTTTGGTGATGGAAACAAATTTTTTAAAACTTAGTTTTGTTGTAAAAATAATTTCATTTCTTCAATGGTGGTTTATACATGATGATTTCTGATGTCCAGTTTTTCTGACATACTCCATCAAATTCTCTGTCATTGTATCCGTCTCCAATGAGTGATTGTAAAAAAATATATCTTATCAGTGTTAGCCTACCCTTCTGTCTTAGTCAGACAGCAGGTGTACATGAGGATTAATTTAGAGATGTTACTTTTCTAGCTTTTTCCAGGTAGGAAGTTACAATAATTTGACTAAATATGGTTTCAATAATTTTTCTTAGTTTTGAGAAATCTTACTGGATGAATTTAGTGCTGGCTGTTTACTCACCAATACTTAAAGAACATTGTTGTTAATTATGTACCTGTCAGGTATATTAATTTTTTGTTACTTTGATTGAAATTTAATCTTAAGAATTTTATCATGAGATAAATGATATTTTATTTTTTGCCTTTAATTTGGAAATGTATTTATTGTATCATGTTTGTATCATTAGAAAAAAGGTTTGATTAACTGATAATATATTTGATAAAATGTGATATTAATTACATGTAACATTAAGAACATGCTCCACATAGATACAGAGTGATTAATTCAAGAAAATCATAATATCAGATAATGTTAGAGATGAAAATTGGGTATTGTTTCTACTTAAAAAAATCAAGATCTTTAAGACATTGTAACAAAATACTATAATAGTACTTCAATACCTCACACGTCATTGAGTTTAGGGTTTTTATCCTTTTATCTAACGTTAATGATTAAGAATTTGGAATGTTAGATCTGTAATTTAAAAGTGAAAAAAGACCAGAAGAATAAACGACAACTCTTTTGGATCATAAGTAAACTCACTCCAACATTTATTTTAAAATTTTCATTTGTTTTCAGGCTAAACAAGCAGTAGACAAAGTAAAGCATCGTTCTGCTGCCAATGAATCGTTAAGTTGCTCACCCCCAGGACGCAGTGAGTCCCCGGGAGGGAGACCTCAGTCAGAGGCTCTCATCCACAACTACAGTGTAGGAGACCAAGCCCACAAGAGAAACTCCACACCAGTACACTCTCTAAACCAGAATGCTTCCTCTCTGGCCTTTCTTCGTAGCTCCTTTGACAATACAAATAACTCAGGGAAGAGTAAAGGGTCTCCTGTGACTGCCCTGAAGGATGCTATAGACAAGGGCTTTTGTAACGGCTCTCTTTCTAGTCAAGATAGTACAGACTCTCAAGGACTTCTAATACATGACCAGGAGGGTTATCTCGCCCCTCAAAATGGCCGGCTACTCAATGAAGACAAGGTAAGTAACTCTATCATTCCAAAAATACTCTTCAAAGATTGAAACTTTGGTGTTAGACTTTAAGATAATGACAACAAATGATTGTTAATAATTAGTAACTAAAGCAGTGTTACTTTTAATATAAGCTTAATAACTGCAAGTTGAAGTAAATGTTGTATATCTGATAATGACTCCATAATTTGAAAACATTGATTACAAAATATGTTATCTCCATAGTTTCAATGCTTAGAGGTTGTTTTTTTGCTCTAATACTCTGGCTTGGTAGTATGGATCCAGAGTGAGGATATTTTAAGACAGAAATGACAGGTATGCACGAAGACAAATGTGTAGTGTAAGTAATTAGGAATAGAACCATTTCCTGTGTTAGCTTACACCTGCACTAGTAATTAAAGACTGCAGCTGCAAGTACTTCAGTGTACAAAAAAATGCTCCAAGAATCTATTTTACTCTTCAGAAGCATCTAGACAGGGGAGAAAACTCTGTTTTTGGGGAAACATTCTCTGAGAGTAGATTCATCTCTACTGAGGGTAGAGATTAACAGGAGATATGTATATATTTAGCAGTAATCTTACTATTGCTCTTCTCAAGCTGGAAATGTTGTGCTGAAATATAGTTGTGCGGATTGCATATTCAGTGTTTGTTTACGTAACTATAACTGGATGTGCCATTTCACCATTGTGCTAATTTGCTATGCATTCTGTGAGAAGAGATCAGACCTCTCTTGTGAAGGGGATAGATGTTGTCTAGAGTGACCATTCTGTGAGAAAAGATTAGAAAACTGTTGTTAAGGGGGATAACTGTTTCCTGGGGTTACCATTCTGTGAGAGAAGATCAGATGTCACTCAGTTGTCAAACGGTAGATGACAAAATTGTCATGGGAGATCATTCTCTGACCGGAGGTCTTATGACACTGTTGTCATTGGAAAATAATTCTGCTGCAGAGGGAAAGAAAGGTAGAAGGTAAAGATCATTAATGTGGAACATGTTTCAAGATTTTCTTCAAAACATAAAATTCTCCCTTTATCAATAGTAGTGTTATTGTTTCAGATTAAAGACTGTTTTGATATCATGAATGTAATTCCTTACATCACTTTGTTGGTAGAATTTTGGGGTAAAATTTGACCAGGTAACTGTTGGTCCTTAGTACATCCACCTGTCAGACCAGGTGTTGACAGGTGAGGATGCTGGTAATTAACATTTTTTCACGGTTAACAGTCAATGAAAGCTGCAGACCGCTATTAAAACCCTCAATTAGGAATCACTCAATAGTGACCTCAATATTTATACCTCAAGTGGTTTTTAAAAAAACTGTTGCTGAAAGTAGGAATGTGAGATGGATGTGTTATTTATAGATGTTATTGAGGACTGACAGAAGACAATGTTTCAGTGTAATGGTACTTGTAAGGAGAACGTGGTGTTATGGGTGACTGTCACTTAGATATGTATGTGGCATGATTATATATAATTACATGGGTATGGTGATTTTCTGTCATCAGTTAAGGTGTATTGGTCCAGAAAAGTATATAAACCAGTCAGTAGATACCCAGTAATGGTCAGTGAGGTGTCTAGTGAGGTGTCTAGGTGTGATTAGATACCCAGTAATTGTCAGTGAGATGTCTAGGTGTGATTAGATACCCAGTAATGGTCAGAGATGTGTCTAGGTGTGATTAGATACCCAGTAATGGTCAGTGAGGTGTCTAGGTGTGATTAGGTACCCAGTAATGGTCAGTGAGGTGTCTAGGTGTGATTAGATACCCAGTAATGGTCAGTGAGGTGTCTAGGTGTGATTAGGTACCCAGTAATGGTCAGTGAGGTGTCTAGGTGTGATTAGGTACCCAGTAATGGTCAGTGAGGTGTCTAGGTGTGATTAGGTACCCAGTAATGGTCAGTGAGGTGTCTAGGTGTGATTAGGTACCCAGTAATGGTCAGTGAGGTGTCTAGGTGTGATTAGACACCCAGTAATGGTTGAGAACGACTAGGTAACTGACATTTACTTGTCTGCTCATAATAACTGTACTTGTATTTCTGTTTTTAGCTCTACTGGTCGTAGAATGACTTTCCTGTTTTTACACTGTGTGTTCTATTGATATTTGAAGGTTTCTCTAGCCAAGTTATTCATTTTGTATGATGTTAGGAGTCAGTTCTGGTTATCTATATAAACTTGTACACATTCATGTGAAAATATGGAACCATCAGTCTCTAGTTTAAATTCCACTTTTATTCATTCGAGGAACTTTCAACTAGAATGAGATCTCCATATGTAGTGGATTTTCAGGTATGCTGAGCTTGGTTTTGTTTTACGTCTTCAAGACAGAGTTATTTCCCCTTTGTATCAATTTTAGATCTTATCGGACATTTCTCTTGGTTGATATAGTCCTAGGATTAGAAAGATCAGAGAGCAGAATTCCACATCTGTCATCTATAATGACACTTCTTTTTCAGTAGTTTAGATTTAATCTTCTCATCTAATATTTAATTATAGAACGTTACAAAGACATTGTCACGGAACGAACGTACCAGTTGGGTTACAAAGAGACTATTGTTGGTGTGTCATTTTATTACCTTCAGTGTTAGTTACATTTTACAGTCGACGTTTAGGTGAGATAAAGCAATAATCTAGCTAGTTTTTATCCAAGAAAACAGAATCAGTTTTCCTGTTTTATTCTGTCTCCTTGTTGTTAAATTCTCTAAGCTGTTGGCAGCATTTTACAGAAGATTTATATCTGTAGATACAGTGGGAACCAAAATATTTTATTGAATGTCTGTGGGAATCACTGCTTCTAAATTTACATTTAAATGTCAGAAACTCTGAAAACAGGGAAAAGTTACTTTATATTATTTAGAGACATTTTAGTATTAATATGTTGTAGTAACTATATAGTGTGAATTAAGTCATGGAGATTTCTCAATCCTACCCAGAATTACTGCTGTTATTAGCAATATAAATATAGTTGATAACTTTAGGTATTTTTTAATTCATTTGATCTAAATTTTATTATTGGTCGTATAATTGTTAATTAATTCCATTTGTGTTTACAGTTAGTAGAAGAATCACAGACTTTCACCATGAAACACTTCTTAAGCTATAAAAATCCTTACTTTATATCTGGATCTAGGGATTGTGGTAGCCCTGTCTGTAGACATTAGACTTTCCAATTTTCGGTGAATATTTATTTATGAGATCCAGCACTGAATTATAAGGAAGCTTTCTTGATCAAGTTTTGGTCTTATGGTAGTAGGTTCTGAAATAAAACCATATCTGAATAGACCTATTATATAGAGTGTTTTAATTCCGAAATTGTTAAGGCTGTTTTCAGCGGTCCAGTATATGGTGCCAATTATATCCACATATGTAACATTAGCTTTATATTGATCATGATGAAGGCAAATGCATGATGGGAGGACAAAATGGTTGGTGCCAGAAATGCCATTACCAACAATTTCTACAGTCAATGCTGCTAGAGACATGCTAAATTTAGATTTGTTTTGAACATTAAAGCATGTGGCACATTGAAATATCTACTGATATATTTGCTGATATAGATGTTTCTCTATCTATTCTGAGAATACTGTGTGTGTCAGAAGTGATTACCTCCATTACATAATAAAGAGCTTCCCTAGGGGAGATAATTTGGTTATGCAATGGAGACAGGTAGCCAGGGAATTCTCTTTGAACAATAAAACCACCATCCCTGACAAACGTTGTTCTATAATTTGTGTCTGTAATTCTATAGAGGAGATAGATTTGTGAAAACTACGAAGGTCTACACAGAAAACATTTGATTCCAAAAGTTTTTTTTTTGTTCTAAATTTCCTTCTTCAAGCTGAATTCGGAAAACAAATAGTTCAACCCATGCATTCAGGTGACAATTGCAAGCTCTTAAAATAGCCTCAAGTGTGTTGTTGAAAGAACCTGTCGAGGTAAGATAATGAATTACTCCCTACATTCTCTCAGAACACTCAACACCTTTCATAGCTATAAAGGATTGCAGCCTACTCATTGTTGAAAAACATACTGAAGCACTGATGATTAATTAATTAATTATCACTTTAATTTTTATGGTTGCAAGTTGCACTTTTATAAAGGCTTTTCAAAGAGCAGTTATGACCAAATTTTTTATTTTACAGAAAATTTTATGAAAATACTCTAACAAAATCGTTAATAACTCTGGTTATGTCAGACAGCTCTGAGGTAAACCTCCCTTTGCAGCATCATAACCCCTTTTATGTGAAATCATTGAACCATGACCTAAGTCTGATTCATTGAAGGGTTTCCATTCAATTAAAATAGTTTGTGAAGGCTTTGGAATGTGTACAGCATTTTGATGTGGGTCTTTCTGTGTTTTTTCACATGGACACTTCACACTTTACAACATAAAAACGAGCGGGACAAAAGTCAACAATGTCTACAAACATCAGTAAATGCTACTGTGTGTTTAACCGGTTATTATACAGGGTTTTATACACTTTTTAATTCTCACCAGTACAAAATGTTTACACAGGAACACTCAGATATTAACGGGTTTTATTGACTTTTTATATCCCACCTATGCAAGAGAGAGATTTAGGAGAACTGTTGAGGTGACAAAGTGATGATGATAGTTGTTAAGATATTAACAGATAGATTCCTTGACTCGACCAATGTCTCTAGAAAATTGAATTTGTAATAAATGATCAGATGGCAAGTTTTATGACTTGGATATATTGGATTCTAGAGTTAATAGCAAAGGGGAGATAATTTAGTAGAAGAATGGACAATCCTTTGTGTTCAGTATTCTGTATCCAGATGCTGTCATCTTCTGCAGCATTTTATCATGACTTGTAAGACGACCGGTCCTGTACTGTACCGGTAGAATTAGGGTGTTGTTATATGGTGATAAGATGACGTGAGTGAGCCTTTCATCAGAACATTAATCATAATCTAGTTCTTTATAGTACTGGTAAGTCTATAGCCTGGTAATGACATAATCTGCTTTTTATTATGGATACTAGGACATCTGTGTCAGATGTCATTCAGTGCATGACCTTTCCTCTTCACTGGTAACGCTGTTATCTTTGCAAGTTTATCTCAGGCTATATAACTAGATTAATCTTGAGTGTTTTAGTGATTTTCTGTTAATATAGCAGACATTGAAATGTAACTGAAAAGTTCAGTTTTAATGGTGGATAAAGTACATCCAAACCTTAGGTATAAAAGTATATTCATCATGTATCACTTACACATGGGAAAACTCAACCTGTTTAAATGCCAATGTTGGTCTCTTGTTTGACTCACAAACAAGGTTAACTTTTCTTGTCAACAATGGTCACCAATTTGACTCACAAACAAGATGTAGCTTACCAGTCAATAAATGTCATTTGTTTGACTTAAACAAGTTGAATGTTACCTGTCAATAAAGGTCAAATGTTTGACACAGACAAAGGGAATGCTACCTCAATAAAAGTAACAAGTTTGACTTTCAAACAAGATTGATTTTACCTGTCAATAAAGGGCACAGTTTTGACCGACAAACAAGATTGATTTTACCTGTCAATAAAGGGCACAGTTTTGACCGACAAACAAGATTGATTTTACCTGTCAATAAAGGGCACAGTTTTGACCGACAAACAAGATTGATTTTACCTGTCAATAAAGGGCACAGTTTTGACCGACAAACAAGATGAAGTTTCCTGTCAATAGAGGTCACAAATTTGATCCACAAACAAGATTAAGCTTCCCTGTCAATAGAGGTCACAAATTTGATCCACAACCAAGATGAAGTTTCCCTGTCAATAGAGGTCACAAATTTGACCCACAAACAAGATAAGTTTAAACCTGTCAATAAAGATCACAAATCTCACTTAGACAAGCAAGATGCAATTTACCTGTTAATACAGGTAATTTGTTTCACTCAAAGATTAAAAAAAAATGTTTCAGTACAGGTCACTGACTGATTGGTTTTTTGTTTAAGTAATGTTCAGGAAAATAGTGCCAGTCTGATTTTACTGTACCACTTTACAATAACTGACATGTATCATTCACAGGTGACACTGAACCCTCACATGTGACCAGTGTTTGGCTTTAGATGTCAAACACAATCATGATCAGTTACTGTTGGAATTTGACAAGAGCTTGCAAACAAAAAAATTACAATAAAAAGAAATGTGAGATGTCTTGAGGAATTCTGTAGATTTCCATCAATGTTCTACTAAAACCTGTTTGAATAAAACCAATGACATTGTCATTGAGTCAAATTGTAACCTTAAAAAAAAATTTTGCACTTTTTTACCCCTTAACTTGTTTTGATGTGAAAAGGGAAATGAAGTTTGTGGTTTAGTGGCTACAGGTGTGTGTTTATCTGTGATCTGCACTCTTTATAAAACTCAAATTTCACACAGAATCACATCCTCTGGAGAGGACACACAGCAAATCAAGGTACCCAGTGGAGTCGAATTTGAACAGTGATGTTGTTTATCGTTAAAATTTTTATGATAAATGATGCAAAGAAAAAAAAGTTTTCTTTTCTATAAAGGCAAGATCATCTCGTTTGATATGGAAGTTTAAAAGCTGGTGACATGGAAAAGTTTTATTGATTATGACAACATTGTTGTTAACTCCAACAACAGCTGTACATATTGTGTTGATAAGCTTAACTTCTATATACAAAAGGCACACTGGGGACAGTCTAAGTTACTCCAGACTTTATATTGTAAGTTACTGGTTTGTGAGTATCCAGATCTACATATGATGATGTGTGGTAATTAATTCTTCATGAGAATGGAACACAGATATGTATTTACACATCTCAGGTAAGAGAAAATTTTGGTTGTATATGGCAAAAGCTTTAGTCAATAAGGCCAATGAGCAGAGGGAATTGTTCATATCTTAAAATGGTTGTCAAGTGTAGATCTTCATGTTGATCAGTAGGGGTTTGAAAGTATGGTTTAAAGTTCAGCCTCTGGTTCTACTGTGAATATTGATGTCTGTTTTATCTATTTCTGCAATCCTCTTCGATCTATAGTCAAAATCAATTATCTCTGAGCCAGTCCTGCTATCATTGTTTCTGAAATGGAATGAATGGGAGATCAGTCGAAATCAAGAGAGAAGGTGAAACGGGGTGGAGGGAAAGGAAAAAAGAAACTTCTATGAAAATTATCTGTTTTTCCCTATGGGATAAGTAGTTCTAGACAAATGACAGGGCACATATTTAGATGAATGATTGTGATTTGTGCCAAATAGTGATTGATGGTGATGTGTGCCCATTTGTGACAAAATGTGCCTGATTGTGATTTGTGCCAAATAGTGATTGATGGTGATGTGTGCCCATTTGTGACAAATTGTGCCTAATTGTGATTTGTGCCCAATAGTGATTGGTTGTGACATATATGTCCCTGGTTTTGATGTGTGCCCATTTGTGACAAAATGTGCCTGATTGTGATTTGTGCCCAATAGTGATTGGTTGTGATGTGTGACTATTTCTGACAAAATGTGCCTAATTGTGATACGTGCTCAGTAGTGATGTGTGCCCCGTACTGTCATATATCTGACAGTGATATTGTGACTTGTGTACAACTGTTTACCAGTACATGATATGTTTCTGCAGTATTGATCAGGTTTCACATTTCTATGTGTTATCTGTGTCTCTCATTACTTCATTAGTCTATCTGATTCTAATTACATACACCTTTGTTACTTGTGACACGTGTTGAAGGCCAGAGCAGAAAATTGCAATTTTAAGATTGAACTGATTTCTAACCACAGACAACAATGAAAATTTTACAGGTGACAGGAGTCGTGTAACTGAAAGATAAACCTCTCTATGTCTCAATGACAGAAGTGTGTCTAAGGATCTGACTTATTACACACATTGTACAGTCTTAGTATGGTTTCTCTACTGGGCCTGATTGACACAGGATATCTCAGTAAAATCTCGGTGGAATTGATCGGAATGTAGATATGGTTAATCTGTAATTAAGGAACTGACAGGTGAAGTGACCTTGGGTGTATCAGTGAGAACACAAAAAAACTGTTCCTGTAATTTTAATGAAACATCACTTTAAAAGAGGGGGTAAAAAAAATCTGAATTATTGCTACCTTGTCATCAGTGTTGTGAGTAGGACCATTTGTTATCTGAATCTGTTTCCTGTTCACAATTATTCACAATTAACAATGATATCAAACATGGATCAGTTGAGCCATGAGTCACCTGTCTCACATTACTCGTACACTAATGACACGGGTCACCAAAATTTCTCTCTGATTGTTGATTTGTAAAGAATGCATGTTTTTAAAGAAACATTTCTACTTAATGTACAAATGTGTACATATTTCATGCTACTTTAAAGCAAAATGTCCCATACATGGACACATTTTATAAAAGGTTAGTGTACAAACCCTTGACCTTTTAGTCAGCTTTCCAATGTTGTTAAACCTGTCTATAAAGGCCACTCATGGAAGCAGAGAGAAGTGGGCTTTTTTAGCACATGGCTTATAAATAGATATTACAATCCATTGTATTTGTTCATTGAGAACCAAAATCAGTGACTTTTATAGACAGGTATTCGTTATATACCTGTAGCCTTTTTAGACAGGTGGTCTTCATAGACAAGTATTTGTTATGTGAGATGACATTTATAGTCAGGCTTGTTTTAGACAGATGACCTTTGTTGACAGGTATTTGTTTTATACAGATGGCCTTTATTGACAGGTATTTGTTTTATACAGATGGCCTTTATTGACATGTATTTGTTTTATACAGATGACCTTTGTTGACAGGTATTTGTTTTATACAGATGACCTTTGTTGACAGGTATTTGTTTTATACAGATGGCCTTTATTGACAGGTATTTGTTTTATACAGATGGCCATTATTGACAGGTATTTGTTTTATACAGATGGCCTTTATTGACAGGTATTTGTTTTAGACAGATGACCTTTGTTGACAGGTATTTGTTTTATACAGATGGCCTTTATTGACAGGTATTTGTTTTATACAGATGGCCATTATTGACAGGTATTTGTTTTATACAGATGACCTTTGTTGACAGGTATTTGTTTTATACAGATGACCTTTGTTGACAGGTATTTGTTTTATACAGATGGCCTTTATTGACAGGTAGTTGTTTTATACAGATGGCCATTATTGACAGGTATTTGTTTTACAGAAGTGGCCTTTAAGGCAAGTTTGACTGTATATTTAATCCTATGAATTTTTTTTCCTAGAACAAGAATCTGTGCAACAAGATGGTCAATCGTCCCCTTCCAGCCCTCCCTAATCAAGCCAATGGTCAGTCAGGAAGTCCCTGTAAACACAAAAACTGGACAAGTATGGATGATGATGTGCTAGTACCACGAAGGTCTAGGTCACGGGGAGACAACATGGGAGACTCCCCTAGACGGAGGCCAGCCCGCCCATTAAGTGAAGTATTCTCTGACAAAAAACTTTCTGCATCAAACTTTCCTGGTGCTAGGTTTGATGAGCCAGGTTGTTATATGTATGGCTCTAGGGAAATGCAGAGTCGGCAAATACGAAATTCACGGTCAGAAGGCATGCAGATCCAACAACAAATTCACTTACAAAGTCAACAAGTGGTAAACAATCACAGATCCCCAAGTAAACAGGATGAACACTCTTCTCCATCAAAACAGTCGTTTAGATACCAAAATAACCAAAGTCCTTTCCAAGAGCCCAGTTCTTATGAGAATCCGGAGGACTCTAGTCAGCCCAACAAATCACGTCCAGGGTAAGTTCATAGATGTATTGTTCATTGGTCAACATTTTATATAAAAACACATTATGTTGTGAGTACATGTTGTTTTTAGAAAAGAAGAAAAAAAAAATGCAATTTCACAAAGGGAGATTACTCAATACCCAAAGGGAGATTACTCTATACCAGTCAAGTAAATCTATGTTTTGGATAGACCATGAAATCAGATATGCTCCATGGTAAGTTTTCAGACATATTGTTCAGCAATGAATGTTTTATTTCAGTCATCTTTGGAAATTGAGATTGCTTTTCTTGTAAGTCTGGGAAAATTGCAAAGGCTCACAAAGGGAGATTACTCCATAACACTCAGGCATGTCAGTATACCAATAGGGAATCAGTCATACCCTAAAACTGCCCGGGGTTACAACTTGACTTAATGTGAATCTTTTTAAGACTAAATATGGAGGATTTAAGGACACAGTAGTGAAAGTGACGGGAACATTTAATTGTTTATCTTTCAAATTAAGACTCAAAACAGTTGTTAAAATAAAGTTATTATGCAGAGTCCGGGGGTCAATATTAGTCATCAAATTAAATGCCAAGTTAGATTAAAGAAATGAAATCTTTGATTTGACAGTTGTTGAACAATACTTCTGTTGACAGAGTGCCTGTTATTGCTAGGCTTTTGTCAAGCACAACGTTTTATATTTATCAGGTGTTAACTTGTCTGCCACCCACAAACACTCTCACCAATCACAGCAGGTCACACAAATATATATACCAGCTGAATACTGTTGTGTATGCTAATTACATAATACACATGACGATATGATACACAATAATTGAGGTTATTATCAATGACTTATAGAGTATAATTGAAGTTATTAGTGGTGACTTATCGTGAATCAAGTCTGTGGTTTTGTAAGTCTGTCACATTGACAAGGAGAAGATAACAGTACGGACATCAAGTCGAAAACAACATGTTAAGACATTTAAACTGCGAGTAATCATATGATGGGAATTTCTCAGGAATTCTAAATGGTTTTGAAAATGGATTATTCATGCATAGAGCTCTGACTAGGGGACATTCAAATTTGAGGAAATTACATCATGCAGATTAATTGTTTAACATCAAAACCATCAAGACAGATGAATATTGTTAGTTATTCTATAACAATAAAGTTTTCTTACATATTTTTATTGTCTGATTTGTGTTAAGTTGCTTCTTAAAATTTGAATTTTTCTTAATAAAGATAGGTGGTGTTGTTGAGAATGTATTAGGATTTCCAGATAAATTTTGACTTGTTGACGTTGAGTGCCTTAAGAGATGAAGAGACTCAGGCACTGACAGTTAAGACATGACAGTGACACTTACAATGGCCCTCTGAATGGTCCGGAATGTGAAGTACCGGACAAGATTATGGGGTTACAAACATTTTATTCAAATACTGAACTTCAAAACTTTAAATTGTTTCTCGACAAAAACCCCTACCATCAATACATGTGTAAATTTTTGCCAACTACTTATCCCAGGGAAATTTTAATTTGTTTTGTACCGTCATAAAGTTAGTTTTTGGATAGGCTCACTGACATTTTGTCTATATATCTGTCAGGGTTCTGAGCATCAGAGCACAGAATGAGCAAAATCTAAATATGTTCACAATGGATCAGAAGCTTGAATAACTCTGCACAAATCAGATGTGCAAATGACTCCATTTGTAAAATTTAAAGGTGCAATATTGGAGAAAAAAAAGACATATCAACATTTGTTCTTAAATTTTGTCAGCCTTGAGATTTAGGAAATTTTCAGTTTAAAATTTGGTCTGTAATTCGGGTATGATGTAGTTGTAATTGTTTTTGTCCAACAATAATCCTGTGTCTGTAATAAGCCCAGCCATATCTAGTGCTGTTTAGTAGACTTATATACCAATGCTATTTCAATGTCTGTAATAAGCATATCTATATTTATAGCAGTTCAGTAAAAATCCTTATAAAGCTGTATTATTGTTCTGCATTAAGCTCTTGCCCTACTCTGTGTCTAAATGTTTATGTCTGGGCCTCGTGGGCATGATACAGGAAATATTGAATATATGAGGGACTGTTTTGATGAAATACTTAAGATCTTAGATGGTGGACAGGAAGTACGAGATAATTCATGCTCACACCAAGTCAACCCATCTCCCTGTATTGATAGCCATCGGCTGCACCACCTTTCCCAGTTAGGCTGTCTATACCAGAACTTTTTGTAAAAAGTTGGAAGAGGAGTTAAAGGATCAATCAAAAGGCACTGAAATCCTGATAGATTCAATTTTCTGATGATGAAGTTGAGGTGTAATGGATGTTTCAGTTCCTCTGTAACAAATGAATCCATGTCAGGGTGTTGATACCTCAGGCATTTGTGAATTATTGAGTGTGGTGTAATTTAAGGTGTACCGATGCAGGCTAGTCAGAGTAAGTGACACACCACCTCTACATGCCATTTCTGTGTCTGTGGAAGACATGGTGCTCAAGTCTGTCTCTAATTGTCTGGGTCTATTACTGTGATGGTAGTTTAGCTGCTTGTCAGTGTTTGTCACTAATGGTACCAGTGCTCGTCAGTGTTTGTCACTAATGGTATGGGTTCTAGTCAATGTTTGTCACTAATGGTATCAGTTCTAGTCAATGTTTGTCACTAATGGTATCAGTTCTAGTCAATGTTTGTCACTAATGGTATCAGTGCTCATCAATGTTTGTCACTAATGGTATGGGTTCTAGTCAATGTTTGTCACTAATGGTATGGGTTCTAGTCAATGTTTGTCACTAATGGTATGGGTTCTAGTCAATGTTTGTCACTAATGGTATCAGTTCTAGTCAATGTTTGTCACTAATGGTATCAGTGCTCATCAATGTTTGTCACTAATGGTATGGGTTCTAGTCAATGTTTGTCACTAATGGTATGGGTTCTAGTCAATGTTTGTCACTAATGGTATCACTTCTAGTCAATGTTTGTCACTAATGGTATGGGTTCTAGTCAATGTTTGTCACTAATGGTATCAGTTCTAGTCAATGTTTGTCACTAATGGTATGGGTTCTAGTCAATGTTTGTCACTAATGGTATCAGTTCTAGTCAATGTTTGTCACTAATGGTATGGGTTCTAGTCAATGTTTGTCACTAATGGTACGGGTTCTAGTCAATGTTTGTCACTAATGGTATGGGTTCTAGTCAATGTTTGTCACTAATGGTATGGGTTCTAGTCAATGTTTGTCACTAATGGTATCAGTTCTAGTCAATGTTTGTCACTAATGGTATCACTGCAAGTCAATGTTTGTCACTAATGGTATCAGTTCTAGTCAATGTTTGTCACTTATGGAATGGGTTCTGCTCAATGTTTGTCACTAATGGTATGGGTTCTAGTCAATGTTTGTCACTAATGGTATGGGTTCTAGTCAATGTTTGTCACTAATGATATCAGTTCTAGTCAATGTTTGTCACTTATGGTATGGGTTCTAGTCAATGTTTGTCACTAATGGTATGAATTCTGGTCAATGTTTGTCACTAATGGTATAGGTTCTAGTCAATGTTTGTCACTAATGGTATGGGTTTTAGTCAATGTTTGTCACTAATGGTATGGGTTCTGGTCAATGTTTGTCACTAATGGTATGGGTTCTAGTCAATGTTTGTCACTAATGGTATGAGTGCTAGTCAATGTTTGTCACTAATCGTATCACTGCAAGTCAATGTTTGTCACTAATGGTATGGGTTCTAGTCAATGTTTGTCGCTGATGGTATGGGTGCTAGCCAAGGGTTTGTTGCTAATTTTAGGAGTGCCCATCAAAGTTTGTTGTGAATGGTATTTACATGTCATATGTTTTGAGCCCACCATCAAAGATAAATCACTAATGTCCCTGATCCTTTTGTGTATAAACAATCCTTGTTATGGATATTTCTTGAGAAGTGCTTGATGGATCATTGTTAAATTTCATCTGTAGATTTCCCTTGGTTCCTAGTTATGCCTGTTTGATTTTGGGACTGATGAAAAAAAAACAAAATGGCTGACAGGTGGCCATCTTGGATTTTGAGTACAATGAAAGTTTGTTAGTGGTATTTCTTCTGAGTAATTTTCAAATTCATATATGATTAAGACCAAGAACAAAGGAAGGGGTAGATAAGAAGGAGAAAGATCCCATTTTAAAGAACAAATATAAACCAGATGCTTGTTTTGTTTTGCTGCTAATCTTTTTAAAGCTACAAAGGTTGATAAAAAAGTCTGTGGCATGTCTGACCTTCATTGGAGAATGAGATGTAGTTATAACTGTATGGATAGTGTGGGCCAAGCTAATGCACAAACCTAATGCTTAGCATTAGTAAACAGCAGTACAACTATAGACAAGTAATGATAACAAAGGTCGTAAATGTTTTAAAATTGATGCTAAGAAAGTAAAAAGTGTATGGTTGCTAGAAGTATGAAACTAATAAAGATTATCCCAGAGTTTAATAATAAACAATGAGATTGTAAAAATGTCATCTTGTGTTTCAAATTCAGCAATAGCAACTGCTGATTGAGGCAATTCCAAGCAGAATGTACCTATTTATACAGCTAACTTCATATGTTGAGAGTGTATCTGTGATCTGTGTATAGTGTACAAGTAATTTATATTATTGCTTCAAGGTATGCTGGAGACCTGTTACATGGGAGTAATATTGGGCACTTGTTACCAGATGTGTTTGGTTGCATGCAATTCTTTTTGCTGAAATACAGACTTGTTGATGAGGAAAAAGTCACATCACATAAAAAAGTCAGTGATTGACATTGCTAACGTGGTTACTAAACAATGGAACATTTATCTACTGTTGCTATACTTTTCAGCGTGCTAGGGGTTTTCAGTGTCTTCAATAGGCTTGTCATTTGCTATTGAAAACAGCAAACATTAAAATGTTTGGAAAAAAAAAAGTAAGTTGGAAAATTGATCTCTGCTTTAAATTCACTTAAATGCAGGAAAGCCATTGCTCAAATAATTGATAATGACTCCAATTGTATTTGTTGAATTTTGCTATT